TATATATATATATATATATATATATATATATATATATATATATATATTATATGATGCCACATGTACAATAAATGGCACAAATCCATGGTCAACACGCAAGTATCATCACCTCAATTCAACATGTGTTAAACTTGTCGGATCTAAATTAGATGCGGAAGGAGTCGCATCTAATGCTAATTTAACGAACCCATTGCTTCTCGCACACCGACACTTTTGTCGTCCCCATCCAATGAACCCAATGGCCATGTCACCATGTGACTTGTCTCTTAGTCACCTAACTTGCCGTGGTCGACATGGAGACCATAAATAAATAAATAAATAAATAATATGTTTTCGAATTTATCCTTTTGGGATATACATGTATATCACTGTCAAACCCAAAACCTTACAAATATTCCATTATAGATGATTTCCTATTCCATTATATTTAATATCTGTTAAATCTTTGATTATAGTAGACATTAAATTTTTTCTATGGTAATGAAAATTTTAGAATATTTTCTAATTCAAGTTAGAAATTGATAACCATGATTGATAGTGGCTAAGCTGAGCTTTTTGAATGAATGTTTGACATTTGGAAGGGCATAGCAAATGTGCTATGTTAGAAACTCTAAAGAATAACTATGTAAAAACTTCAAAATAATATGTAACAGTTCAATGAGGCATTACACAGCCTCGTATTAAGATTCATATTTATCTTATAGCAAAACTTACTTTTATACAAATTTTGTATTATACGGACGTTTCAAGTTGTTTCAAGCTTTGCTCAATATGATATGATACGATACGAACGATACAATATGGTATATCGTTCGATTCATATATATATATATATATATATATATGCACACGTTGCCTCAACGATGTCGTCTCATTTTCTTTTCCTCATCGTATCAAACAAGGAAAAGAATGTGATCTTCTCCTCATCTACGACGTTTGATGAAGACATCGAAGGCCGTAGACGGCTCCAGCCTTCATCGAAAAACGTAACATAGAAGAAATCGAGCCGTCGACCCTTCGTTACCTACTGGATCGGGATCATCGAGGGAGGACGTTGCCGGATCAAAAAATATCGAGGTTCTCCTGATTCTCCCTCGACGCTTCTTCCCTCCCTACAACCAAGCCTCAACCTGATACCGCCCAGTAACGGGCGATCTACGTATCGGACGATATCATTCGAAATTAAAATTTTTATTTTTATATATGTAAACTGAAGGATTATGCATCCAACAATTATTTGATTGTATCACCACCTGAAATATATATTGTAATAGTAAAATAAAGCCATAATCCTAAATCATATACCAGTATAGAAAAGTAATCAAACTCTGCATTATACACAAGTCTAAATTTTTGTACCCGCTCAAGATGAAGAATTGGACTTCCAAGAACACTCAATTCTATGTCTACATGAGAAGCACTATACAGTAAGAACATACAGTTCCATTATTGAGGTTTCTGGTGAAAAAAGGAATTGTAGGTGAGATCATTGGAAGATCTCACCATGGCAGCTGATGCATCATGTATTGTTTTCAGTTCACAAGGGTGCATATGATCTTTTAATAACTTTGGCAAGATAAAGCATGATATTTCCAAGGTTTAAGTTAGCTTATAGTTTCTTAAAATGTATTACTTTCCTGTTAAGTATGACTAGGTTCAAGCTTAAGAACATATCAAATGACTATGATAACCATAAATGGTTTTCATCCATGAAGTTTAGTGTATCATGACATTTGATGCATCATGCATGTGTTGTTTTCAGTTTACAAGGGTGCATATGGTCTTTTTATAACACTTGGAAAAAGATAAAAGTATGAAATTTCCAAGATTTAGGAAAACTTTTAGGTTGTTAGAATCCTATACTTACCGTGAATTCAGTAAGTGTGGTTGAGATTATGATCACCAGAAATGGATTTTCATCCATGAACTACAGCAAATACACTAATGAATAGAACATATACATGAATCACTTTTTTTTTTTTGTGCGAATAGTTTTGAGAGCACATATACCACTGATTGAGCTGGTAACTCCTACTGAGGAACAGCAGTGGAAGCGGATCTGAGAACCTGTTGCAGCAGTCGAGCAGCCAGGCGTTGAGTAATTCCTCCGAAAACACGACCACCAAGATTGCGAGCTGTAGGTTCTTCGAGAACCTGTGCAATGAATGCATACTTCCATTAAACCTTTCAACAGAATAAATGGAATGCATGAACACAAAAAGACATCATTGGATGTGTATCAGAGGTCCAAAAAAATTTGAATAAAGATGTCATTTATTTTCAGTTGGCAGCATATTGGGTCAAATAAGCACCTGATTTCTCAGTCTTACAGTGCTCTTATAAACTATATTTTATGTAAATGTCTAGAAAGCAAAACTCATTGACAATGGTTCAACAAATTCATATATTTCCCAGAATCTGAAACATGTGAGATGGACTAGATAGAGTAACAAATACAAGCAAATTAGTTGATGCCTACATTGGTTGTACACTGAAGATCTGCAAGATGAAGGTGCTATGGCATTTTTGAATAATAAATCTTGATCTATGTCATTAATTGTCAAACCATGAAATGAATTTGACTCGAAATGAAAATGATCACATTCATGTGGTATAATGAAAAGATTTAATTGATCCTTCACATCAATTTCAACTAACTAGGCCATGGGAGAACCATGGTCATCTACCATAATATCTGATCTCTCATAGAGGCAATTCCCTTGCCTTGTTTGCTCATCATAGACATGGCCTGTCAATAACTAAGATATGAACCCAAAAGGAATTACCAGTCAAAGAGGGTATCTCATTCTTGAATCATTACATCCACCAGTTTGATTCACAGCTTATGAACAATATAATAACCACATACCACATGCAAAAGTACAGCAACAAAATCAGAATATTAAAGAAAAAGTTCAGTATGAGAACATACTGTTATTGTAAGAATCATAAATTAGGACTCTCTTCTGCTGATAGGGTTTTCGAGACTCATTTCTTTTCTTAAAATGTTTGAAGGGGATAGAACTAGGATGCAGCAAATTGACTAGAGAAATTCCATAAAGGACAGGAGTTTATGACTACAAGAGATTGTGACTAATAAAAAAAATTGTAGCATTATGTTGTTGGCTAATAGTACTTCCAGGAATGTTAAATAAAATCTAAATTTTTTAACAGCAAATCTAAACCATCATGTAGATTTATTTAGTGCATACATGATAATCGAACAACAGAAGAGTATATTTGTAGTACCTGCAAAATTGGTTGCAGAAGGCTTGGATCAAAGTTGTCCGAGGATCTCAAAAGGCCCCATATTCTGAACACTGTATCTCGAAGTTCTAGCATCTGTGTTTGTTCACCATCATTAAGCTTAAAAGGTCCACTTGCATTGCCATTACTGACCAAACCCTTCATAAATTCAGGCATAGAATCATATGCATCAATCATCGAGCCCAAGGCAATAGCTTCAGTGACACGAACAGCTTCTTTCACAACAAGAACTCGTAGCTCTTCACCATCAGGACCTAGTAGTAGCTTCAAAACAGGTTGCAAAGCATCCTTAGTAGTAAAATCTCTATCCTTTCTTCCTTGAACAAGAAGGTTCTCAAGCCTATTCCACCTGCACACTAGGTAGAGGTATCACAAATGTTAATCCAGATAAGGTGCCAACTCCAAATAGGTCCAACCTAAACATATTGCACCAAATTGAACCAATAAAAATGCTTGCCTGAATCTGCCATCTTTAAACAATAGGTCGATGAGGGCATCTCTAAGATATGGATTTGGGTCAGTTAGAAGTCTTTTAGCAAAATATGGATATGACGCAGCAAGCACCTTAAAGTTGGGATCAGCGTAAAGGGCTAGACCTTCTAGCACAGTGAGTGACCTCAATATTAGTGCATAATATGCTGGAACTGCAAGCAAGTAAACCACTCCACGAGTTAATAGTCTTGCTAGGTGTCAATGTGAAAGAAGCCTTAAATCTATAAAATAATATATAATGTAGGGCTATAGGAGCAGATATCGCATTCCTGAATCAGCATAACCTTACCAGCCTGCACTCTGGGGTTTATAAAAACACAATAGACAAAATTGCAAGAATACTGTGGCGCTAGGCACAAATAATACTCACCGTTGAAAGGATATTGATATAGAACATTTCCTAGACCATCCACGATGGTCTTAAAATTGAGCTCGCTTACAGTTGAATTGAGTGCATCATCGAAAAAATTCCTAAGAGCTGGCACAATAGGAGACACATCTACATCAGGTGCTAAAAAATCCAACACATAATAATCACGAGCCATGGCATCATAATCCCGATTAACCATGTGAACTACGTGACCAATAATAGCAGATCGTGCATCTTCTGGCGTTTCGCTCATCATCCCAAAATCAATAAAAGCAAGTTTTCCCTCTGGCGTTGCAAGGAGATTACCGGGATGGGGGTCAGCATGAAAAAACCCATATTCAAGCAACTGCCTCAAGCTACATTGGACACCGATGTTAACCAAATCCAACAGCTTCAGACCTTGCTTCTCGATAGTTTCTTGCTCACTCAGCTTAACCCCATTCACCCAATCCATGGTCAGTACCTTTGTGCTAGTGTAATCCCAATATATATCTGGCACAAGTACATATTCCTTGTCGGCATAAAACTTTTTAAATCTCCGTGCATTCTGGCCTTCCTGCAGAAAGCAGTGGAATCCAACAATGAGACACAGAGTTTTGTTCTACAATAGATAGCATGGTAGATTGGATTCACGACAAAGCTATGTACCTGAACATAATTCAGCTCCTGGTAGACCCTTTTTGCAAACTCATCAATTAGAGCAACAACATCACTGGTGATGATATCAACATACTTATTTATCAGAAAACCTAAACCTCTCAGAAGGTAAAAATCCAAACCAATGGCTTCTTCAATCCCTGGCCTTTGCACCTTGACGGCAACGACCTGGCCCGAGTACTTAAGCTGGGCCTTGTAGACCTGACCTAGGCTCGCAGCTGCAATCGGATCCGCCGATATGGCAGAGTAAATGGACTCGAGAGGAGTTCCCAGCTCCCTCTCGATGCAAGCAAATGCCTCCTCATTTGGAAATGTCGGGAGGGCATCCTGTTCGGACGGACAAGAACAAAGTAGCTGAGAATTGATCAGTGATTACTATCAACAACAAGGGGCAATCGATGAGGTCGAACAGGAGACCTGCAATTCAGAGAGCTCCTCGAGATATTCCGGCGGGCAGACGTCGGGGCGGGTGGACAAGCCCTGCCCAATCTTCACGAACGTCGGCCCCAGTCGGGTAAACGTCTTCGTCAGCTCCGCCGCCCTCTGCCGCTTCCGCTGGTCGAGCTGTCCTCGCCTCTGGTCCGCGACTAGCTTCAAGGCGAAGGTGCCCAACGCCGTGAAGATCTCTAGCGTCCTCGATAGCACCTACCACCCACATAACCAACATCAAGAAGCCAAGCGCGGAGAGAAGAGCCCTCGAACTGGGAGTTACCTTGAGGGGCTGAGCGGCGTATTTGGCGGCTAGAAGCTGTGGGTCGTAGACGGTGGCATTGGCGGCCCGGGCCATGGCCCGCGCCTCGGCTTGCATGTCCTCGGCGCGATCTTTGCGGATGACGGAGAGAGGGGCGAGCGGCCTGGAGGAGACGGCGGTGGGCGTCTGCATCTCCGCAGCGAGCTGGATGGCGTACTGCCCCCTTCCGCTGCCCACGTCGGTCTCGGAGGCGGAGACGGGCCGGGCCTCGATGAGAGCCGCGCGGGGGGGTCTCGGAGGATGGCGCGCCGGGTACGGCCTCCGCCGGTGAGCCGACGCAGGGGGCGAGGGGAGGGAGAGGGCGACGGCCATTGGGGTGGGTGACGGCCGAGGGGGCCGAGGAAGGAAGCAGGACGGAAACGTGCTCGACGGTGGAACCTCTCGTTTTATGTGGAAAGAAATGGAGAGAGCCTGCTCACGCACGCCACAGACGGGTCGAGTGGCAAGGGGGACGGATGCGTACGTTACTCCGAAGACTTCACGTGAGGCGCACGTGAAGACGGCCGGATAAGAACGCGCCGAAAGCATAATTTTCTTCGGTATCTTATTTGTCCATTTAAGCCCTAAAAAAACATTAATATACATATTTTATAAAGCATAATGTGATTAATATTTTAGGAGTAAGATACTGATATTTACATAAATACTTAGAAATATAAAATATTTCCGACGCCCTTAATGATATAGGAATTTATTTTTATTTTAGTATTGAAACGAATGGTTTAAAACTCACTATATCATTGGATTTTATTTGGTGAGAACATTTTAGTGGACTGCGGAATGGTCGCCGCATCCCTTTACGAAATTAATTAAATTGAGAATAATGAGATCCTCTTGTTTTTAGTTGAATTTTTTTTGGGGGGGCCAACATATTTGTGTAACCACAGCTCGTAAAGAACTTTATAGTATAGGCCCTAAAAATAAATAAAAATAATTATTAGAAGTGGAAGAATAAAAATAATTATTCGATATTAATGATTTAGTCTACAATATTTGCTTATCAATAGTAATTAACAGTGCATTATTTCCTCGATTAAATGTCAAGAGGGACTTTAAAATGGAATCCAAAAGGATAACTATTCAGATGCTAATTTAATTAAATGATCATATTTATTTGAATTTGAAATGAGCCACGTGGCACCACGAGGGCACAAAGAAAGCAAGGCAAGAGAGGAAGCGAGAGAGCTTCAAATCCGCGCCTCTCCCTCGTTCAAACTGATTAAAAACCGCTCCTTTGCCCACCCCCCACCCGTTTCCCCCCATTTCAAACCCGTTCCTCCCCCCTTTCCCAAACCCTAGCGCGCTCGATCCCCAGTTCCTCTCTCCCTCGCGTCTTTGGCGTCCCGCTAGGGTTTGGGCTTCGTCTCCCGCCGTTTCGTTCTTGGATCTGGGACCTGGATCCGTTGGATTCTGGAATGGCGGCGGATGCCTCCGCCAAGGTATGAGACCGATTTACTCTTTGGTGTGGTGACTTGGATTCGTTGTCTTCTTCCGCTTTTGATCGTGGTTGTGTGGTGTTTACCCATTTGAAGGTGGAGGCGGAGGAGAGGGACTGCGACTGCGACCTGGAAGGGCGGCTGGATGGGCCCAAGCGAATAAAGATGCGGGATCTGGAATCGGTTCTTCGGGCGCAAGGTGGGGTGGCTTCTTGATTTATGATCGGAGTGGTCTTTAGGTCTGTGAATTGGAAAAAGTTTGGGAAGACAGTTTCTTTATGCCATAAAATACCATGGTTCTTAGATACATCCATTATTTTCCCCTTTTTGATGAAAACACGAAGCTTAACTATTCTTGGCTTGTCTATTATGATGCTTTTGTGAACGGAGACAGCTGCATCTTCTTTCACAAGGGAGTTTCCCTAGCCATGAACTCGAGTACTGAAGTCATACTTGAGCACACCAAACTGTCATTCCATGACATTGGAAGAAGTTGATGTTAAAGAATGTGAAAACAAGGTCTTCTTTACAGTAGGTCAAATTTGATGGAAAATTGAGAGAGAGAGAGAGAGAGAGAGAGAGAGT